GGAAATCAGAGGGGGAGACGAACCATGAGAGACTATGGACTCTGAGAAACAAACTGAGGGTTCTAGAGGGGAGGGGGTGGGAGGATGGGTTAGCCTGGTGCGGGTATTAAGGAGGGCACGCTCTGCATGGAGCACTGGGTGTTCTATGCAAACAATGAATCATGGAACACTACATCAAAAACTAATGATGTATGGTGATTAATATAACATAATAAAATAAAATTAAAAAAAGACAAAAAGTAAAAATATTAAAAAAATCTGTTATTCTCTGCTATAATGTGGTGATGAAGATATTCTAAGCTTTTGGCTACTGCATTAAAATTATTCTAGTGTTTCTTCTCTCTTTTTGGTTGCCTTTATTCTTACTGCTCTCTATACCTTTACTGTCATTAGGTCGCTTCCCATTGTGCGTATAATCTCTCCCAATTTACACCACAGTTCTGATCGCTTCAGTTTTTTTTTTTTTTTCCTCCTTTTTTTTTTTAGTGTTCCTCTCATTCTCATGTTGCTTCTAGGCTTGGGTGCCTACTGGATTTAACTTTTAGAGTCATTGTAAGAAGTCATATTTATTTGGTGAATCATTTTTACTTTGCCTCTTTGACACTTTTCCTTGTTGTTGCTCTTTGTACTTGGTGGTGGTATTTTCTTTTAAATCTGAGATGGGTAAACTCTTTTTGTAGAGGTCCAGATCGTAAGCCTTGTAGGTAGTGTACTCTCTATCACAACTCAGCTGTTACAGTATGTAAGTCACAGTAGATAACATGTAAACAAATGGGCCTGGTGATGTTCCATTAAAACTTAACAAAAATAGGTGGCAGGTATGATTTTGGCCAGTGGACCATAGTTTGCTGACCCTTGCTTTAGAGGAGTTAGTGCTGTTCTGAAATGACTGAGTATGCTAGATGTCTGAACTCAGCAGAATATTGAGTATTTTTTGTTGCTGTGATTATAACATTTAATGTTTTTGTTGCAGATATAATAAACATGTTTTATTGCAGAAAAGAACATGTATAATGTATTTACTCCTTTCTTTAAAAAAGATCTATTTATTTTACTTGAGAGAGAAAGAGATCATTCCTGACCTTAGCTGAAACCAAGACCCTGATGCTCGACCAACTGGGCCACCCAGGAGCCCCTGTAGTTACTACTTTATAGCCCTGTCAACTTTTTCCAAAGAATTTAGATTTATTTCGCTTTATTTTTTTGGACTTGTTTTAGACTTCTGAGAAAGAAATCATAAGTAAGGAACAAGGTAATGAAAAGGCAGAGGGAGCCTCTGATGTTGTTCTTTACAAAATTGACGTCCCTGCCAATAGATATGATCTCCTGTGTTTGGAAGGATTGGTTCGAGGATTTCAAGTCTTCAAAGAAAGGTAAGAGAATATGTTTATTAAATACTTTGCTCAGTTAGATTTCTTTTGCCTGTTATTATCAGCAATCCTCTTTAAGTCCTTAGAAAAGAACTTGTTGGGCAGGTACACAGCTTTAGCTTTGCTTAGAGGGAGGGTTGGAGAGTAAGATTCATGCATATTTTAGCCATTTAAAAATTTGCGTACTGCGTCCTAGCCTTCCATCTGGGGAACTTTTTAAAACTGGAGTGGTTAAGGATTTTATGGTTTATAAAATTTTTTAGTGCGTTCATGTGAACATCCTCAGTAATCCAATAGAAATAGATGACTAGTTGGATTTGTTAAAGGTTGGGAGGAAAGTAGAGGTGGCAAAACTTTGTATGCTGTTTGCTTAAGAACTCTAAGGAAGCTCAGGAATGGAGCTTCCTAGCTGGAAAACTGAAAATCTTATGATGGCTCTCTGATCTTGGACAAGTTAATTGGCCTCTAGTTTCAATCTTCTAATTTTTTTTTTTTTTTTTTTGAGAGAGAGCATGCACCTGCTAGTGCTGGGTGGGGGTAGGGGAGCGCAGAGGGAGAGAGAGAATCTTAAGGAGACTCCATGACCCTGTGTGGAACCCGACATGGGGCTCAGTCTCACAACTCTGAGATCATGACCTGAGCCCAAATCAAGAGTCAGATGCTTAGCCGACTGAGGTACCCAGGCATCCCTCAGTCTCCTAATTTATAATGAATATTTTTAAGTCCCCTTCCAACTATTCATGAATACAGAAAGTAATGAATATATGAAGTGAAAAGAGGTGAAACATAACACCTAGCAAAAATAATTATTTTTGCTTTCGATGACATATCATCTGGTCAGTTGCGAAAGAATGAGAGCCTCTGGCCGATGGGCTAGACTGAACCTGTGAGGTTTCAGGTGACTGATGGGTATGGGTGAAAGGGTGATAATTAGGCATTTGGTTTAGGTGGTTAAAATTTGGAAGGTGACTCAGTTGGTTCTGTGACAATCAGACCCTCATATTTTAGGGCCAGGGATGATCCCTTAGAGTGTATGTTCCAAACCTGCTTCATTAGAGTTTTCTACTCCTCATTTTTAAAAATGATCAGACAGGATTAGGAAAGTGACTTAACCCTTTTGCTACTCAAAGTATGGTCTGTGGATCAGCATCCTCTTTATCACCTGAGAGCTTGTTAGAAATGCAGAATCTCAGCCTCTACTCAAGACCTATTGAATGAGTCTGTGGTTTAACAAATTCCCCACTTGACTGTGAGCACATTAAGGTTTTTGAGAAGCACTGAATTGAAACAGTAGTTCCCAATCTCTCCTGATAAGAATTACCTGGACTATGCCTTCAAAATGTACCTTTCCTTGGCCTTTCATTTGAATATCCTGATTCAGTAGGTCCAGATGGGACCAGGCAATCTGTATTTTTAATAAACCCTATTTTTCTTAGAAGCTCAGAATCTCATGGTTGGAATAAAGCTTTAAAGGTTATCGAATCTAAAAAAAAAAAGTTAACAAATCCAGCCCCTCAGCTGAATTAAATACCCCCTATATGGTTGCTTAGTGGTTTTCTAGCCTCTGCTGATCCTCAAGTGACCGGACACTTCTTACCATGAGGCATCCTATACCATTTTTGGACTACCTTAAGTGTTAGAAAGTTTGCATTTTGTTTTAATATTCAGCCTAAATCTGATTTGCTGTAACTTCAGCCTATTTATTGTCTTAGCTCTATTCATTTTTTGTACTTTTACACAGAATGGAGCTTATTAAATGTTTTGGTTAAAAATCAAGTTTAATTTCCTTTTAGGATAAAGGCTCCAGTGTATAAACGGGTAATGCCTAATGGAGAAATCCAGAAATTGATCATCACTGAAGAGGTAATAAGACTAAATTCTTATTTTCCTTTTTAGAAAGTTTCCTTTGTGTATATATTTGTAAGGTGGGTAGGGAACAGGTACAAACCTGATCCTTCTGCCAAATATAATTTTCTTTGACCATTTGCCAAAAATGGACATATATTTAGCCTCTAGCTCTTAAAAACTGTCAATTTGTTCCCTTTCATTTATTGGTGAAAGCAAAGCATTTGTTTTCCTGGATAACTTTGGAAAATAACACCAGGTGTTTATTTAAAAAACTTTGAGATAGAATTAAGTTGTGGTATATTAATAAAGTTTAAAGAAACTTTGGGGGAACATTATTTTGGTAAAATATCAACTATGAGCAAACTACTTACAGGTTAATTTTTTCTGGTTAGTAAATTTTCAGAAATTTTACTGAAATGTACATTCCACGAGAAGGGTGACTTTGTCTCTTGTCACCACTATCTGATTAAATGAAATATATATGCTTTTTTGCAAATTTGCAATAGTATCAAGAGTGCAGCTAACTTTCTTTCACAAGATGTTATGAGAAAAGCCCAGGTATGGACAATCTCTAATGATACAATGAACTTCAGACAGCTAAAATACGTCCTTATGCTGTGGCAGCAGTTCTCCGAAATATAAAGTTCACTAAAGATCGATATGACAGCTTCATGGAACTCCAGGAGAAATTACATCAGAACATTTGCAGGTTTGTGGTTGCATTTTTCCTCCTTGCCTTCCTCTGTCCCTTCCCCTCTTTTTTCCTTTTTACCCCTTTTTCTCTCCCTGTTTCCCTCCCTCCTTCCTTTCTCTCTGCAGATTTTTTCAGAGCATTTCTAAATTAATATGTGAGTAACAAGAGTTTAATTTGCTTAACTAAATTTAAATAAGTTTACATTTTACCAGATAGCTTTTTGTTTCTGTTACTAACAGTGAATGCATGGAGAAATAAGAGCTCTATTTGGCATACTGCATAGACAAGAAATAGCTATTCCTAGAGATTTTCTTGGTTTTTATGTTTGTGCTTTTGTTGTTTGGTTCAAATTATTAGTAGTGGATTATACTACTAAATGTTAAATGATGGTAGTTTGAAGTATGACCTGTCATTTTAAAATGGAAAAATTTTTGGCTTGTTGTCACTTTTTGAGTATAATTATAAATTTACAGATGAAACTTGAGACTTTTAAATAACTCAATTTTCTTACTCCTATTCAACATTACTATCCATCGTTTCCCATGGGCTCCTTTGATGCACTGATCTTCAAACATATAATTCCTGAACTCCTAAAGGTCAAGGAAGGTAACAATGGGAGTCTTTGAACTAACCTCATTATTTAAGAAATCCTGAAGGAAATCATAGATTTACTGATAAACATTAAGCTTTTAGCTAACATATCAAGTTTTTTTTGTATTGGTCCTGAAATACATCAGCATATCTCATGCTGATCAAGAAGTATGATTAACTTTTATTGGTATCTTGAGTAAAAATAGAGTTTTTATTGTAGTAATTGCAGTTTGGTATACTGGAGATTGAAGAGGCTTCTATGTAAGTGATGGGCTAGGGACAGGGTTGGAGGGGACCCTGGACGTTTTCTTCTGGGGTGGAATGTTTTAAAAATAAAACATCAGTAGGCCTCCATTTCCAGAAACATCTTTATGTGGTAAAAGAAACTTTTTCAGAATCTAAATAATATTCCTGTTCTTTTATAAAAATAGTCTATTTATTAGCTTGCTAATAAGCAAAACAATAAGAATTTAAATACCTCAAATGAACAAAATAGATTTCTGACAAGCTAATAAGTGGTTGAGGCCGATTATCTGTTCTGGACTTTGTTAATTTGAAGAATCTATTTTTATCTAAATTGGAAGGCATTTCCTCACTTAATTCAGCTTTAAGGTCTGTTTATATGGTATTTGTGGAAATCATGAGCTTTTTGAAAGGGGAGAAATAAATCCCTGCCTAACACTGTGGTGTGCCAGAGTCCTTACCTGCTAGTAAATCCTAATTAATCTCTTGCATGAGCTTTGGAAACTTGTGTTTTTCAAGGAATATATTCATTTTGTTTACATTAGCAAATGTATTGGCATTAAGTTGTTCACGATGTTCTCTTATTAATCCTTTTAATATCTAGTATTAGTAGTGATACCACTTTTTTCACTTTTTTTCCCTTGATCAAGGGAGGGTGGCTGGAGTTTTATCAGTATATTGATCTTTTCAAAGAACCAGCTTTTGGTTTTATTGACTTTTTTTCCCTCCATTGATTAAGCACTGTTCTGAGCACTATTCTGTGTAGGGCTAATTGCTAGTATTGAGGCAAGACCCTTCTGCCTACTTGATCCATTCCCACATGAAGTAGTGAGGTTTTCAGTCTGTGTGAACATCGTTCCTCCATTGAGTCTTTCCATGGCCGCAGGTAATTTCCTCACATGCGTGCACTGATCAGTACTCAGCCAAACACTTGAGGGGTACCCTCCGCAGATCTCCAGAATTCTCATAGCTCTCTGCACTTTAGTATCGTTTCCAGCGAACCCCAGCTGTCTTGGTCTCCCTAGACTCTCAGTTATTTCTCTCAACTCAGGGAGTCTGCCGATCTCCAACCTTGTCCCTCTTTCCTAACTTAAAATGTGGAAACCCCTCCAGGCAGTAAGCTGGAGCAGATGTGGGGCTCACTTCATTTATTTCCTGTCAAGGATTGCTACCTTTCATTGCCTGATGTCTAGTGCCACCCATGAAACTGTTTCCTGTATTTTGTCCCTTTGTGGTGGTTTCGGGCAAGAGTGTAAATCTAGTCTCTTACTCCATCTTGGCTAGAAGTGTCCAATGAATTTTTTACTTCAGTTATTTTACTTTGCATCTTAGAATCCATTTGGTTTCTTTTTACAAGTTTCTTTTTTTGCTGTTATTTCCTCATCTGTTCATTATGTGCATATTTTCCCCATAAGTTTTGATTATTTTTTATGGTAGGAACTTTAAAATTTGTGTGATGATTTGAAAATCTGGGTCATCTTAGCATTGGATTTTAGGGACTGGTTTTGTCTGGAGTAGAAATCACATTTCCCTGTTCTTATGTCCAGTGCTTTTTTTTAAAAAAAAAAAACTTATTTAAGCAATTTGTACGGGGCTCGAACTTAGGACTCTGAGACCAAAAGTTGCATACTCTCCTGACTGAGCCAGCTGGGTGCCCCTCATGCCCACTGCTTTTTGATTGCACACAGAATGTTACGTTATGGATAAGGCTCTTGATTTTCTGAGGACTGGTTTTGTCTTACAGGCAAAGACTCTTGAATACTTAGCTAGACTCAAACTTGAAACACTAGGCTAGGCAAGATCTCTGCAGTTGGCAATAGCAGAGTGTTCTCAGTTCTTTCAGCTTTCTCCTGCTTTTTCACAGCAAGACTTTAAAATTTTTTGCCAGTACGATAGCTAAAATCTTGATTTCTAATTTTTAGTTTGTGTATCTTCATATGTCTGGGATATTAGTCCTTTTCCATATGTAAATTATAAGCCTTTTCTCAGTTTGTCTTGACTTTTGGGGTCTTTGGATGTATAAAGTTTCAGATTTGGATAGTCCCATTTATCAGTCTTCCTAGGACTCTTATTTTTTTTTTTAAGATTTTTAAAATTTTATTTATTTATTTATTTGAGAGAGAGAATGAGATAGAGAGAGAGAGCATGAGAGGGGGGAGGGTCAGAGGGAGAAGCAGACTCCCTGCCGAGCAGGGAGCCTGATGCGGGACTCGATCCAGGGACTCCAGGATCACGACCTGAGCCGAAGGCAGTCGCTTAACCAACTGAGCCACCCAGGCGCCCTAGGACTCTTTTATTTTGTGTCAAGGGGTGTCCTCCAGTTTTACACATTGTTGTCCTATATTTTCTTTGAATAATTTTTGTGGTTTCTTCTGTGAGTATATGTACATTTGTGTCTTATTTTTCAAAATGCATAGCTCTTTGATTCATCCGGAATTTATTTTTGTGATTGGTTTGAAGTTGAAATTCAGTGACCTTTTGTGGGAGTACTGTTTTAGGATTAAGGGACCATTACTATCTTAAAACAAAACAAAACATGGATTTGTCGATTGTTAATTTATCTACACAACTGTATATTTCAACCTCTGGTATTTCTGGAGTTATCTTCTGTAAGCACATAAATCATTGAGTAATTTAACACTTCTTTTGTGCTTGTTAACAGTTCTTTTGAGTTAATCCTATTTCTTAAAGTTCTTGTTATCAGTCTTGAGGGATGACTAAGAATTATTTCTTACAAATTTTGAAAATATTTCATAATTCATGTAACATGAACTTCAATAAAATCCTTGATTACTAATGCATTTTATCTGTTTGGTGTATATATGCACTTAAGCATAAATACTCAAATATATTTGTACATACATCTAAAACTAATTCTAAGAAATCTTAAGAATGCCATAAATTCTGACCAAGTTTCTTTTTGAATTGTCTTTTAGAAAGCTTAGAGCCAAATTTGTGACCCGCTGTGCTAAGACTGTAGGCCTTTAGATTCTAATTTAGTATTAACATTGTTCCTGGCTCTGTATTATATCCCTACTTTTTCTTTCTCTCCTAATCTTAACTTGCTGTAAGTTCCTAAAATTACCTTAAATCCTTCACACATAAACTGTAGAACAAATGAAATTAATAGCTTTTGAACTTCCCTTACACATTAAATTTTAAGTGTAATTCACTGTTCTTAATTTTTTCCATGATTAAAGTAATACAGATTTGTGACAGAAAAATTTAGGAAAATATACAAAAACCACAACAATTCGGTAGTTTATTCTAATAAAACATCTGTTTACTTGAGGACTCTGAGAGGAAATGGGTTAAAAAAAGCAGGGAGGGGGGGAGTGTTCACTTGGAAAATGTCCTGGTTAACACAGTACTTGGGAGAGCATAGTGGCAAGGAATTTAACTGTAGCTACTGAAATAATGTGTTTTGAGTAGCTTTAGAATTTCTCATTACTTTCAATGCTGTGAGAAGTTGTTCATTATACTCTTCTGAAGTTGTCTTATAGTAACAGGCTATTTTAGGGAATTGTCAAAAATCTTTTTTTTTTTTTTAAACATAAGGTCTGTTAGTTCTAGAATTTCTGCTTTGGAATATTCAAAACTTTTTTTTTTTTTGGTCTCTTTTTCTCTCTCCCTCAACATTTAGGAAAAGAGCCTTGGTTGCTATTGGTACTCATGATTTGGACACTTTGTCAGGCCCTTTTACATATACAGCAAAGCGACCTTCAGATATCAAATTCAAGCCTCTAAATAAGACCAAGGAGTATACAGCCTGTGAACTGATGAATATATACAAGGTAGATTTTTTTTTATATTATGCAAATAGTTCTCCATAAATCAAGAAAATTTCTTCAGAGTCAAGTCTTGGAATTAGGGAGATGTAAATGAGTACTTTTTAAAAACTGTCTATGCTCCAATGAAGAGCTACTGATGCATTTGACGTAGAGTGGGGCCTGGGCATAGTTTTATTACTTTTTTAACCTTTTGGATGCTTTTAATGTACAGCTAGAATTGAGAACCACTGAAGTAGAACATAAGCACATTATAATATTCATATTTGGGTATAATTATAACTCATGCACCTCATAAAGAATAAGATTTAGGTAGGGTTTTTTTTGTGGGAAATAGTATTACAGTGTGTCGTATCTCCTACTATTTAGCATTTTAGATTCCAGCAGTTAAAATGATTCTATAGTCACTTAATGGTGCTTAAAAAAAAAATAGTATCATTCAGAAAAAATAAAGCTTTTATCCTTGGCCTGATTTGCCAGTGTTTTCTTCCTATTTATGTAAACAGTTTTGTGATGGTTTGTGTTTTGCTTGAGACAAGTTAGGCTTACCAGTGCAAATCTGTTTTCACTCTTGGAAAACGACTTGGCTGTGTTCTCATCTCTCTCCAGTAGGAGATGAGGTATATAAGGATATTAAGATATTTAGAAAATCTGACAAATGTAGGACTTTCTGTAATACGGGGCTGTTTTATTGTTTTTCTAACTTTTCCCCTTTTTTTATACTAGATAGGTATATAAACTAATTAGCATTAGAAATACAAAATAAATTTTAATTTTTTCAGACTGACAACCACCTTAAACATTATTTACATATCATTGAAAATAAACCCCTGTACCCAGTTATCTATGATAGCAATGGTGTCATCCTTTCAATGCCTCCGATTATCAATGGTGAGTTATTTCTTAAGCATCAGATTTTTTTTTTCTCTTATCCTTCAACATTTCTGTAAGAATTGAACTCTAGACTTGGTGCAATCAAATAAAATAAATCTTAATCAGGAATCTCCGGTTTTTGTAGATTTTATTGTAATAGTTCTTTTTATTAACATTTTACTGGTGATTTTTATATAACTTTTAAATGTATAGATATTTATAAGTACATAGATATTTACTGGTGCCAGTCTCTGGATTCTTTTATTTTCCTCTAAAGAGCATTGATATTTTGGTTTTAGCCTGTGGCTCAACTTGATTAAGCTCAAATTCTGCCTTGCCTGCTGTTTTATAGTTAAAACTTTTAAACTGAATTTCATTTCTGAAGACTCTTTTGAAGAGGCAGCTTGGATGTATTTACAAAATTTAATGATGTCATAGCCATACATGTTGACCCTTCTGGAGGTGAGGAGGGGGTTTAGTTGATTCACGATGGGAAGAGTCTCTTCCTCCTTGAGGTGTTGAGCTGTAGCTGTTACAGTGGTTCAGAACCTGAGCTTCAGAGTAGCGAGATCCAGACCCAGGTTGAAGCCTTGCTGCTTAATAGACTGTGATCAGGGTCAGCGAGCGGAAGCTCTGAATCTTCGATCTGCCTGCAGCTCTGTCATAGGGCTGTGGTGGAGAGGAGAAGAGACAACCTCTGTTTAGTGCTGGGCACTGCAGCTCTGACACACTGAATGCAGTAAAGGCTTGTTATTATTTTATCTCTATTCTCCTGCTTGTAGTGGGGGCTTAAAATAAATGTTGCATTACCACCTTACCACTGAGATGTCTGTTTATATTGTACTCTAAGTGAAATGTAGAAACAGATTTTAGAGAATGCACCTATGTTTCTGAAACTGATTGTTCTATTATTTTGTGTTTGTTGTAGGAAATCATTCCAAAATAACCGTAAATACTAAAAATGTATTTATTGAATGCACAGGAACTGACTTCACTAAGGTAATATTTCCATTTTTGTATGGTCAGACAGGACATTTTAGTTCTGGGCCAAGACTAGATGGCTGAACTTTAAAGTACTTATTTTGTAGGTGGGAACATATTTCAGAAACTTAGAAAATTAGAAAGATCCAGATATTCTGTACTTCAGTTATGGTGTGTTCATTTAATCAACAACTCTTTAACGAGCACCTCCTGTCTTTCCAGTGCTGTGCATTTAATGAGTTTCATGTTTCTTGACTTGAAGGAACTCATTCTAGTGGGAGAATTAGCCATATACCTGAATGGAGTAAGTGCTGTATAAATTGTTTATCTTAGTTGGCTTAATTTAAATGCTGAGTAATTTGGCACCTGTGTGTACTTGGTAATAAGTGTTTAAAAATGAAGTGGCTTATAAAGAGGTGTTATTTAGCAAATTGATAAAGGGTTTGTGCACACGATATCTAGAATATGTAGAATACTAGTTCATTCACTTTTAGTAACTGCGTATATTGGATTGGATTGCTATGAAACTTTTTTTTTACGGCATAAATTTCTTTATACGTGTTAAGGCATATGGTAATGTGGCAATTAAGCAAATTAATAAGATAAGCTTGAATGGCAGGAGAAGGCTGGCCTATAGAAATAGGGCCATAGGGTGCCTGAGTGGCTCAGTTGGTTAAGCGACTGCCTTCAGCTCAGGTCATGATCCTGGAGTCCCGGGATCGAGTCCCGCAT